GTGTCTCTTCAATATTCACTTGTTGAAATCCTACCCCAGATGAAGAATCAGGAAGTGAGGCCAGTTCTACTTGCAAGACTGTAGCCTTCTAATATCTCAAGGAGATGAGTTCAGCAGGGCAGAACCCTCATGAATGGGATTAGTGCCCTTACAAAAGCCTCCAGAGAGCTCTGGTGCCTCCTTTCATTGTGTGAAGATGCAGGATGAATACTACTTGAATGGACTAAGATAGAAACAAAAGACAAGGTAAAGGCAGCAAATATCCCTCCTCCCCCCCCCAAATGCCAAATGTTTTCTTTGATATAAGGAGGCTGATTCATAGTGGGGTAAGGATCAGGATCCTGGGAGGAATAGAGGAACTCTAGATAGGGCAGAGGGGGTGGAGGGGAAGGGAGGGGGTATGGGATTATTAATGATGTGGAATGTGATGATCATTATTATCCAAAGTACAGGTATGAAGACATGAATTGGTGTGAATATACTCTGTATACAACCAGAGATATGAAAAAATTGTGCTCTGTATGTGTGATAAGAATTGTAATGCATTCCTCTGTCATATAAAATAAAAAAATTTTTTAAAGGCAGCAAATAGTTTCTTCTCCAAATATTAATATCAAATCTCTTTTAAGAACAAATTCAATATAATATGAATTGTGATGTGACATAAAAGTTCTGAAGCACATGATAATATTGAGTATTGCTTATGAATAAGTTGTAGAAGAACCAATTTATGTAGGTATAATTCATTTGGAGAAAAATCTATTTTTATTTTCCCTATAAATGATTTTAATTTGAGGTCTCTGTCTACATTTCCCTAATACTGGAAGGCTAATGCACCTCAAAACTCTGTAACTATTTGCTTGCCAGTTCTACTTGTAAGACTGTAGCCTTCTAATATCACAAGGGTCCTGAATAATCAAACAATAAGTGTTCATTTGAGTCAGTGAAATGGACACTTATTTTGCAAATATGGTATAGGATTTATACATGCAAAATAAATATATTTATTTCTTAGATCAAGACTTATATTTAGACATTTCTAAGAGCTTACCATTCATATTCAATTTAAATATAGTTCTTTTTGCACATAGAAGTTGAAACAATAGGGTTAATTAAAAATGGAAGAAAAAGAGATCACCTAAGATAGCATGATCTTAGATCTAAATTTCAGGGAAAAGTTATTGTACCTGTTGTCTCATGAATAGTGAAAATTTGAAAGTAAAATCTATTTATTTATTCCTGAGACAATAAGGGACACACAAAAAAACTGAAAACCCTTAAACATGAAAAACAGTGACTTTATTTCTTTACAGACCCAATTCTGTGCATGTGCTAAGGCATATGAAAGTTATATCAGAATGATGCTTTATTAGAAAGAAATATAGTAGCTTTGAGAAAGAATAAGAATGATAGGAGACAAAAGAACGTTTAGAGACAGAGCAATTTCATAAAACCTTTTGTAATAGTCCCTTTTGGTTATTTGAGTAAACTTCCTTTTGCCTTTTCAGCACTTACTTTGTTCATTTCAATCCTTTCCACTTCTATATTTACCTTCCCCAACACTCCCAACCCCTGTCCCATTATACTTAGGTCATGAACACGGCAAATTCAAGATACAGTAAGAAGGTGTCCTGGAAATACAGTGGTCAACAAAAAACACAAACTTCCTGCCCTCAGGGAGCTTACATTCTATTAGGAAAAGTTGACATTAAATATAATTGCAAAGGCAAATATGTAATTACTATTATGATTGCTGTGCAGGAATAGTATAGGCCTCTAATCAAAGCACCAATACTTAATTAAGTGTTTAATATACTCTTGAATTATTAAACACCTATTATGGCTGAATCTACATATATAAATAAATTCTTGATTTAGTCATTTATTTTCCTCAGACAAATGTTAAAGTAAAATATAAATAAATGAATAAATATTGAAATAAGCCACTAAATATACAAAAAGAAAAAACACAAGAAATTTCAAAGCAAAGAGACAAACATAAATTCTAAGTAGAAAGCAGGAAAAAGATAACATTATCAGTGATCCTAATAATATAATACTGACAAATTTCAATAAAGACTTTTAAACAAAATTTCATCAAGACTATTTGGAATCCATTTACCCAAAATCAACAATAGTAAAGTTGACTTTGGATAATGTGTCTTCAGCTCTTCCAAAGAAAGTTATAATGCATTGAAATGAAATTTATGCTTAATCAAATGCAGGTAAAGGTGACATTGCCTTATTTAGAAATCATGAAAAACAATCCAAATTATGGACTCTGAAGTTTGAAACAAAATAACCAATTGAAAATAATGGGCAACATGGCCCAAGGGAGAAAGCCTGTGTGTTCTTCAGTGTGATTCTGCTACCACATAGCAATGATCTCCAGTGTATCCAACTGTCTCACATGTTTGTGTTATGTACAGATGATAATATATTTTGCAGTTTTCAAACCCTGAGACATAAGAAATATGTCTACATAATGTCCACACCAACTCTGTAAGTGTACCTCACAGAATGATACCAGTGCTAACCTCAGGAGAAAGGAATAGATAGGATGATGAAGGCTATCCACAGGATTGTTCTTTCTCATGTGTTACATCATTTTACTAAATGAATTGTATTCATAGATCTCTGAGCATTTAAAAATTTAGAAAATATTAAGAATTCATGCAGAATTCAAAATGTGAACACATTTCACTTCTGGATTCACAAATTAAGACATTAATCCACAAAGGTTATTTCCAAACCTCACTGTATTCACTGCTCCAAAGAGAAGAATGGTGTGGAGAAAAAAAATGATCCTTGATTACATTGTGTTGTAAAGATTTGGGAAAAAAGTTTATAACACAAATCAGTTATTCCTACATTGGCCAGGTTTAACATCTATTTTATGCATAACCTGACATAGAAAGCTAAAATGTGACATAGTTAGGCATTTTCTGCCCTACCAACAGGTGAGTTATTTAGCCACAAGAGACTCTAATTCATGTGTACCTTCTCTGAAATCCTACCATACTTTGCAATACTCTCAGAACACTTCCATTCTGTTATTTAGTCCAACTTGCCCACGTTTTCATTTCCCTGTCATATCGATACTCCTTGAATGTGCTGCCATGTCATAGTCCTGATTGTATTTTGCTGTAGAATATAAATTTGTTAATTTGCAATTAAAACTGACTAATAATGATCCTCATTTTTAATATATATACACACAGATATATCTAATTAATCAACATGAAATGGTAACCACTCAGTCCATCTTAAAATCTTCTTTTCCCATTTGACATCAAAAAGCATCTTGGTACCATTAATAATAGAAGAATGCAATGAAAAAAATCAAATTCTTGTCCTCTGTAGCTTTGTGCTGATTGAGGGACAAAATTTGAGGAAAACAGGTAAAATAAAAATATAATGTTTTCCACACCTGCCAACAGAAAACATTTAAGACCAACAGTAAAACTGAATGAAGTGACACTCAACGTTAATTACACCAAACAAATATCAGCTAAGCATAAACATGAACTATTCCATATGTAGAATTAAACGCTTATAATTGGAAAATTATTTTGAGTTACTTTTTCACAGAATAATGAATGTATTAGTGTGTATACCTAGAAATTTTGTATGTATACACACATTCATACAAACATATACTTGCACGTATACAAATATATTTTCCTAAGCCAGCAAAACAAAATATATGCCATCCTGAGCCCATGTAATAACATGATTAGAACTACCACTTAAGAGTAAGCAAAGGAGAATTCAACCTCAAATAACAGTATTTAGGAAGTACCCCAAATAGTACACACAATCTTTAAAAAGGAATGACACATGCTGCCATTTGCATAGTTGCTAGACTTGAAATGAGATTAAGCTGTATCATTGGAAATGGTTGACCAAAACAGAAACTGCAACAGAATACGTTAGTGACTCAAAACCTCCTAACAGCATTTGTTTCTAAATCTCTGTTTTACACATTTAAAACTTTGATCGCATTTCTTACTTATTGCTTGGCTCATGTTCAGATGCTTTTTCAAGCAGAAAAGTTTCCCTGCTAGACGACACAAATGTGAAACTGTAGAACTGTGAGCTTGGGTCCCAATTCACCGTATTAACAATTTGGAGCATAAAAAAAGATTCATGGAATTCAAGGAAAAGATACATTCCTGTATTAAAATAATGATAATAATGTTTTTAAACTAGAGTCTAAGGACATGTTCACTAACTCAGGTTAAGAACAGTAAAAAGGCTATGCTATGCATTGGCTACAGCTGCATGTCACCTACTTCATTTTCATGACAATACTAAACACAATGCAGATGGTTCCAAATGGCAAATTAAACATGCTTCTGAGTTTTGTACCAATGCCAAAATGTACACTTACCAAATGATGTAGGAATATATTGCTGGTTGATAATGTCCTTAAAGCTAGTATTCATGAAGATATAATGTGCTTGTTTCAAGTCTCTGTTTGTCTCTTTCACAATATTTCATTTTTAGATCACCATGTGATTAATGTGTACATATGACATTTAGCAAACAACAGGGTGATGAGCCTACTGCATACCATTTTGGTGCTGTACATGCTTAGACTTACATCTCAGTACAGAATGGCTAGGGAAGGTGTGTTCCACCAATGTTTGAGGATGATTTATTTATGGTTACTGTACTCATCACTTAACTACCATTAAATGGCACTGTCGAAACCGACATCCAAACCTGGAGCTAATTTCTAAATATACTAATTATCTAAGCAGCTGACATGGAACAAAAAAAAAATCACTCTAAAAAGCAAAAGGGAAGAGGATGAAGGAGAGTGAAACAGAAAACATATGATGAATTTATCTTACCTTAAATTCACAAATATACATTAACACACATACCTACCTCCTAGTGCCCATTACCAATGCCATAAGGTCTACATACATTTGCATAATTTAGACACTGTAATTCATAAGATAATATTAGGAAGAAATAAAATAATGTAATACCTTTACTTTTACCTATGCATTTGATGAAATGGGTCCATGAAGAAAGGTTTTCCAGACAAATAGAATAAAGAGGAGAAAAACAACAATAAGAATTATGAATATATGTAAATGCACCGATCTCTGAAAACTAAACAATACAAGACAAGAAAGTATAAATAAGGTTTTGAAGATAAATGGCTATGCAATCAATACATTCTGAGACATGTGTCCCTTTTTAAAAGCAAGTACATGCAAGGAATCAGATGGCCCATGCTCACTTTAAAAGATTGCACAAAAGAAAGATACGCAATGTAGGTAGTAGGAAAATTATTGACTCCATGTCACAATACACTCAGCATTCTAGAAGCCAGAAGCCAGAGATGTCTATATGTCCCCAATTGCCATGCATGGATGAAAAATGGACTCTTTTTGACGTTGTTGGTTAAACTGAGAATCTTCTTTCAGATATTAATTTATGATGGTTCTTGTTTTTTGTTTTGTTTTGTTTGTTTTACTATAACCACCCTTAACTGCATATGCTGATGAATGTACAGAAATCTTCAACCACAATTTCTTAATGTCTCATTTATTTGCAGGTATTATAGTGCAAGAAATGAAGGAAAATAAAAGTCATAGGAGCAAACCAAAACAAAATCAAACCAACAAATAAAGGGGAGGAATACACATAGGGGGAAAAAAAAGGTGAACAAAAGTTATGTTTTTAATTTGCAGCCAGATAATTTGCAAGCATTTGCCCAAACTTTGCAGTGATGGTTTGAAAGCAGCTACAGAACAATAAAACACTGAAAGCAGAGTGGAAAAGGAACAGAGCCCATACCTTGGTCGCCCATCATCAGGTGCGCCAGACCTTGAAGGGAAACAAGAGCAAAGTCAGCAATAAACAAGGGAGCATGGGAAGGCAGGGTTGTCACAGTGACAAAAATGTTCAGTGACAGACATCTTGTTTCCTATGAGACATGTCTGTATCACAGAGGCAAATCAAAAAGCATTCTTTCAACCCCTGGTTGGAATGCTTTGGGGGCAAAGAGTTCTAGAACTGCAATTTAAACACTGGCATATGCTGCACTGTGTATATTTTCTATGTATCAGTTGGAACAATCCAAAGTATGAGAGTACGACTCAAAATCCAACCAATCCCTTAAATATTACATCTGCCCTTCATGCCCTTTTGTTGAGATTGTTTTGAATACCGCCCTCAAAGGGCTTGTCATTCTTCAATGATAAAATCACATTTTTAAAAACCCAAAGGACTACCTGAAACATGGGCTGGGTCTGATCTTTTTCCCCTCATCAAAAAAATGAGCAGTTTAATAATTAAATGAAAAAACAAAAAAAGATCCTTAGTCACATTGAAATGATAATGCAGAAATGTCTCCTTGTCTGACACATTTAGCAATTGACTAGGCTTGTTCAAATCCAAACAAAAAAAAAAGAAAAAAAAAAAGAAAAAAAATTAGACATGCCATTTTAGAATTTACTATAGAATAATGTTTTTAAGGAAGAATAGATCACCTTTAAATAGAATCCAGTAATTTTCCATGGAGAACAAAATTATTTTGCATTTTCTGAAAGGTTATTAAATGCTGAACTATAAATTAGTGCAAGTATTTAAGACATATATTATGGATATAATTACATCAAGAAACATTCCTAAAAGAATACTGAACTCCCTTTATTTAAATTATTTATTTCCTGCTTGGCAGTTAAATTAAGATTGAAGATAACTCCTTTTCCTTTTCAAGAATATTGCAAATGCTCTTTGAAATATTTCTTTCATTAAGACACTACTTTTTAATGAAAGACATAAATCTTAGTTCTTTACTCTAAATTCAAAAATAAAGCTATTTATAATCAATGTATATTTCAAGAATTTTGGAAAATGTTGGAGCAATATAAGATTCATACAATAAATTTAACATTTTTATTTTCAATTCCTAGTGCTATCTCAAAAATACTTGAAACTATTTTGAACTATATAACATTATGAATTAATTGCACCAATACTAAATGTAATCTGTAGTTTCATAAAATTTTATTTATATTCAAACATCCTTGTAGGGAAAATATAATTATAAATTATCTTATAGTCAAAATATAATATGGAAATCATTTAATACATTAGTTTGGTATTCTTTCAACCTTTGGTTGGAATGCATTGGGGGCAAAGAGTTCTAGAACTGCAATTTAAACACTGGCATATGCTGCACTGTATAGTTGCTGTGTTTCTTGAGTGATTTTAACAAAAAATCTTCACACAGAAGATTACAATTTATGATCTGCTGATGAAGAAGAGTGACTGATTTGTCCAGGTTCTATAAGTTTTTACTTAACTTTACTTTTAAAACTACTAATCATGTTTCATAATAATGTTTTTTACAGATTAAATCCTGGAATTATCTATGATAATTTTAAAGGCTCTAACCTTTAGAAAATAAATTTAGAGATTTCTCAGAGTGGTATTTAACAAATCCCCAAAGTACTCACATTCCCTTGTGAGATTTCCTCTAAGAGGAAAAAATTTCCCCTAAGATTGCCTCTAAGAGGAGCTCAGCCACATTCTCAAAGTCACATTATAAACAGGGATATTAAAATTAGGATTGAATAAACTTTATTACACCTGTTTATGGCCTACCATGAGAATCTTATCAAGTCTTTGTAGGGAACATGTGTATCTGAGGAGAGGCTTCCATGCTAAGTAGGTTGATTTTAAAGCCCCTTGGAATGCAATTAGATTTAAAGAGGAAAAAAAAACAAAACCATGGAACATTTTACAAAATGGTTAAAAAGATGCAAAAAGGGTTAAAAAGATATCATTTAGAAATGACTTTCAAACTCGATTCATGTGCACAATATAAATGAGACCAATTTTAAAAGATATCAGGCCTTCAGGGTAATGTCATCTTTATCAAGTGTATTCTCACATACAATGAAAATTATATGACAAAAAAAAGAAGCCAAATGCTGATTCGACACTTAGAAAAGTGTGATGTATGTACAATCTCTTTGAAGTTTAAAAAACAAAACAAATATTCAGTATCAACTATAATTCTGTCCATGAAAGAAACACCAATATGATGTTGAACCCTGCTACTGATCAATTTTGTGTTACCATGAAGAGTTATTTTTTGGAAACAAAAAGTTGGTAAGTTAATGGCTATTTGTCAGTAAATTTGGATGGGGAGTCTTTTTGTAAGAAATTCTTTCTTCTGTAGAGATGTTCATATTTTTACAGAATGACTATATTTCAAAATATAATAGCAAAATAAGCTAAATACTGTCTTCTAATATGTAGATATTAATTAACTGCTTATGCAAGGACTGTTAATTCTGTGACTATATAAAATGATGTAATGTATGTAAGATAAAACCTTCCCTTTCACAATTCTTTTGCTATACCTAGTTCTTTTTTGTATGCTTATCTTTTGAAGCTTTGGTCAGAAGTACACTGATAATTGATGTTCTTTTAAAATAAAAAATATTGAACTATCTCTCCAGGACTCTACAGGAAAATGCATAAGTTTCTGAAAAATCCTTGATATAGAAAATTTAAGAAAACTTGAATAAAATAGTTTCCACAGACACAGAATATGACAAATATACTTACCAACATTGACATCAGAGTGCTGTGGGCTTTCATTTCCATTGGCCAATGACTTATTTTTAATCTACACTTATGCCTCTTACTTATAGTCAGTATTTTATTCTGTGTTCTGTTTATAAGTCAAAACATTTGAAACAAAACAATGGACTTGAAATGATACAATGCTAAACATTTCCAACAGAAAAGAAGAAATCATTTTGATCAAGATTAAAAAATGAAGAAAGGGTCATGCACTGTGTTTTGAAACTGCAAAGAAATGCTTTCTCTTCTAAAATAAAAAGAAGTAGCACTGTATCATTTTTCCATATAGAACACTGCAGTAAGCATCCTCAGGTTCATGTGGGATGCTGAAATCCATCAAAGGTTGGACTCAAGACTGAGGGTGTTCCGTATTCTCGGGGCTGATGGGCATGGGAGTGTGTGTGTGTGTGTTCTATATGAAAAGTGATACATAACCCAGACACCAACCAACGTTCAGAAGGAAGTTCAACTTACCGTGGACATTCGAGGCATACTCTATTAATACTAAGAAATAAAAGGCAAATGAGAGTTGGAAAATAAGGTAGAAAGCACCCACCTTCCACATTGTTGTCTTCTGAAAGCACATGACAAGGAGGAGAGAAAAGGAAAAACATTGATTAAGCAGCATGCAGACTGGACCTTGCCTTTGCATGTCTTCCTCATGCAAGGCACCAAACACATCATGCAAGTGCTCCATCACTACCATTCCAGGGGGAAACAAAGTCACAGGGGAGCGGGTTCCCTCCCACTGGCAGCATTTACAGGTTGTGAGACAAGATTTCAAGATTACTGCCATGTCCTGAACAAAGGGTTTTATTAAAAGCATTTCACTGCCCAGTGTAAAGCACGCATTACGATTATTACATGTCGCTGGCAGGGACATTCTAAACAATTATTTTTAAAAGCTTTTTTATATTTTAGCAATTCTAAAAGGTCCTATTTCTATCTATTGATTGGGACCTGGATAAAATAAAAAGTCCACTGGAAATTTCACCCGAAGTTACTCCAGTTCTACTAGATATATTATCCTTTAGGCACTGCTGCCTTCTAGTATTTCTAGTAACTCAACTGATTTTCTTAAAACAATACAATGCAAATGTATGCAACTAAAATGCACAGTTTATTATTAGAGCATAGTCATTTTATTGGAAAGGATGGCAGTTTACTATAATTTATTAAAATGTTAACTTTCTAAGTTGCTGAGTAAAACAATGACCATTTCAAGGGAAGCTCATGAGGAAGCTATCCATCAGGCAAAGCTGATCAAGGTTTAATTGCTCTGTAATTCTATTTAGGATGAGATTATCAATGTAGTTAAGCTAAAACAAAATCAGGCAAACTCTTCCCTTGTATTTCCATTTATCTATATAATAGATATATAGTATATGTATTCATATTTCTATGTGTATATATGTGGGTATATTTACAAACACATATAAAAGCAGATTATGTGTATGTTTCCTACACATAATCCATATATATGTACATGGGGTTTCAACTGTTACCAGTACCTACTAGACAATTCAAGTCTTTTTAAAACTCAGACTGGCAATTGTACTAGACATGGAAGGGGCAGCTGTCTTAGGGGTATAGGACAAGAGCAAGGTTTCAGTACTTATCAAAAAAGTTTCAATAGTTAATTATACACACATGGACATTCTAGTCTCATGATATTTCGCTTAATTGACTGTATTTTCTAAAGTGGTATTTGAGCAACAGTGTTTCTAATAATAAAACAACAAAAAGTATAGAAATTTGAGAGTAAAAAGTATAAATACATCATTTCATTACATTCAATGAAGAACTTTGTTAAAGGGCACTGTTATGAATGAATTAAAAATCATCAATTTTGTCTAAACTATATTATCAGGAAACCAAAGTATCAACACAGACACATTTATTGATGTAGTGTTAGTTTATGATAGAGACTTGGTAACTAATGTGGACATAATGTCTTTACACAGTAATTGGTTTTCCAGAATTTACTTGAAAGAAATAGCAAAAAAAGTGATTTGAAATTTGGTAATATTCACTTCTAATTTGTTTTTGGCGTCCAGTCTCTCAAATAAGGAATTAGACTGAAGTTGTTACTTTTCAATGGCAACTTTAACGTAAGATAAGCATAAATATTAACAATTCATTTTATCAATTTATATTGGAAATAATACAATTTCAATGTTTAAGATACAGTTTAGTTTCCCATTAACTGCCCTTTAAAATTATATTTCTTCTTTAAGATGCTTTTAAAAAGATTATTTAAAATGTATAGTAAAATAATAAAATTTGGGAATAAAATCTGGAAATTCTGAGGAGAATGTAGGGATCAGAGAGTCTGTCCAATTCTATTACATCATTTAGTTTCTGTAAGCAAAAGGTTGGCAAATACCATTGTGGGTAGCAAAGTCACAGTAGGGGTTTGGCAAAGAACTGCATAAAACTCTAATAGAAGAAAAATAAAGATTGAAAAACAAAACAGGTTCAGACAGCACCCATTTTAGAGATGTGCTAAATAGGATATTAGAAGAGAAACTATACTCATCAAGTCAAGGTCATTGATAGTCCCTGAAGAGAGATAACTAAGGCACAGGCCCACAGGTGGTGCTATTGATCCTGCCCTGCCCACCAGCTTCCCTTGACTTATAATTCAGAAAAAGAGACTTAATTAGTAGGACTTCCTGCATGTAAATCCAAGTCATGCCAAATGTGCGAAGATCCTGACTTGACCACGTTCAGGAAAATGGTCTATCTGGGAAGATTTAGATTTTTTTTTTAATCAAAATATTAGAGTTTAAGGAAGGAGGAAGAGGAGGAGAAGAAGAAGAAGAAAAGAAACCTGGCTTAGAACTGACTTTTCTTGAGTTCCCATATATTTTCCTACTCAGTTGCAGGATTAAAAACAATTCTTTCCTCATTTAATTCTATTCTACCCATTTTGGTCTCCATTTTTTGGCTTTAGATTTAAAACTCGATAACCCTAGCACTATTTCAGAATTTGGACACCATCATAACTGGCCCTAGTAACATTTATAGCCACTCCCCAAGAATAATTCTTTCTCTCCTTCCTTCTAGTTTGTTTTTAGACTAAACAATGAATAACAAGTTAGTAGAGAATAGTTCTTCTCATCACATCCACTTCTGCTTGTGTTTGTACATTGTTATGCAACCAAATGCTATTTTGGTTTTGAACAGCAAGAGAGAGGCGCTGAATTCTGGCATGCTGGGGGATAAGGGGAAAGCAATATATTTTGGTTTAATGTAAGGTAGAAAGCGATCCGTCTGGCCTTACCTGTGAACAATGTCAAGTTAGGAAAAAAAAAATCTCTTTATTTGCAGAAAACCCTGGCTTCTTAATTCTGCTCACCTAGTCCTCAGTGAGCACATGATTGGTGGGTCCCTTAGTAATCAACTAAACTATGACAACCTATAGAGAGCATACCCTTGTTTTCTTTTTATTATAAAATTAATGACTCCAAAGCTCATGGGGAAAAAAAATCTACTTTAAGTTTTATTTTTCTTTTATATAAAATATGCTTCCATCACAAAGATGGGAAATAGACACTAGATTATCAGTCACGTTCTATAGAATGGCTTTGTGCTGACATCAAAGAGAGTAGCACACAGGCACATGGTTAAATTGTTATCTTTAAATTACTGCAAAACTGTATCTACATAACATTTTTTTTTCTTTTCACCCGCCCCTCAGCTTATAAAAACACAAGACAGTAATTTAAGTTTATCATGACAGTGTTCTTGGCACATAATCTTAATTATACGCTTCTAGGAAAAGAAAAATGAATAAGAAAACAAATTCACTTGTTTCAATATAAAGAAAATTTTTTAAAAAGTAATGACCAGCGATCAAATTAAAGTCTGAAATAAAATGTCATAAATAACTCTTTTCAATATATTCAGTGTTTATGTTTAGCAATAGGAAACCCTTCATCCAAAACGAACAGAAATGGTCATCTTGTATGCTATGGCCAACATTCCCAAGCTGTCCCTCACCAGTTGGGCATTCTCCCCCCCCCCTTTCTTTACCCTCCTGTTTGGCCTATTGACTGTGATAGGCTCCCTTCATTTTGAATCCCTCTCTCCTGCATCAAAACTGCTACCACTGCAGGTGACTTGTCACCAGGATCCCATCTCTCCAAGATGGGATATATAGCAACAAACCTGGTGGTGGAAATAAATAAGGTTTTATGGCCTTTTCCACATTTCAAACTTGCTAGCTTCTATAGTCTTTTTAAGGCCCTCCCATGACTTCTTATCCCTCATTTGGGGGATTAAATGCCAGTGTAGCAGAGTCTGGTTCCCATGGTGGTACAGGATGAAGCTTTGTTTTACTTTATTTTTTCTTTTAGTGTTAGCAGTGAAAGCCTTAAGAAGAAAAAAAAAAAAAACTCAATAGTCTGGGGATGCTTCAAGGACTGGGAAATGGAGGAAATCATTGAGACTGTGGATTTATGCTCCAGTCAGCCAGAGGAAGAGAAACACTGGCCAGAAGCAAGAGGAGGTTCAAACAGAAAATGAAGCATAAAGGTCCATTATGGAGACTTAAGGGAGGAAAGAAACAGCCCTGAGCAGGAATTTGGCTAGTTTTAAAAATGATTTTTAACAGACGGCCTCAGTTCCTTGTTCCAAATCCACCTAAATGAGATTCTGAGGCACTCCCCACCAGTAGTAGGGCCTGGGGAGCCAATTGGAGCAGCCAGCTTACTTCTTTCCCTCCTCACTGCTCAGAAGAAGGAGTGGGTAATTCTAAACCAACTGCAGCAGCAGAGATGATCCTGGCTTCACAACTGGAACTCCAGAAACATTCTTCCCTGGAAACATTTTTTTTTTTTTTTACAGGAATACTTGTGTTACAACTTATTACTAATGATTTCCCAAAAGAAGGGAAACAGAGAGAAAGGGAGGAAAAGAGAGAAAAAAGAAAACAAAAAGGCTGGGGGTTGTGGTGGTGGTGGGGTGATGTTCATGGCTTAATATTCAATTTTACAGTTAATGAATCTGATGAAATTTAATAATTATTAATTAGTCAACATATTACAATATACAAGGAATGATTCACATAAACTATAATTCATATTTTCATGAGGGGCTTCTACAAGGATTTTAAGAATTTGTTTCACTTTTAAAGCTTCAGTTCCAGCTAAACCTTGAGAGTTAACACTTCTGTATTCATTTAAATAGTTGGACCTAGGGAAAGAGCATCTGCATTTAACAGTGCATGTAAAATGGTGACAAGCTCAGTCTATGGTGTGTGTACTCATATCACTCCAGTTTGTTTTTATTGCCTGCTGTAAAATGAATGCTTTCTGATATGGAATTGACAGATAACAATGAGCCAAGTGCCATATATTCTCCCAAATGAGTTCAATCACCGCTACACAACTCTCCAAAGAAACCTGGGTCAGGTGAATAGTACTTGACTTTGCAAGAGCTTGTAGTAAGTATATTTTAAAAAGTAGAACAGTGAAGTTCTGGGGTTGGCATTGGCGGGAGGAGGGAGGTAAACTTAAATACATCCCTGCCAACCTGCCCGATCTATCAAACTTCTAACGGTTATCTGGG